AAAAAAAAGAAGTCCTTTTTGTTAGTCTTTCTCACTGTAACTTCGTCTGAAAAATAACTAAGTAAAAATAGAATATCAATAACGTTAGAACTGCAGTATTATCTTTCTGGAACATTCTTCGATGAATCGTAAAGTTCTACCGACATTTTTACATATGTCGACCTATCATCGACCATGCACTCTTCACTCTAATTCACTTACTTTCTTCAACGAAAGACGGTTGAACATTTAATCTCATCACAAGTTGTATTTATGAGCATAAATCTCAACAATAACAAAGAAGCCGAAGCCGTCAACGGTTGGACTAAACAGACAACAAAGCTAACAAAGAGCGAAATTAAAGTTGGATAAAAAACGAAAACAATTGCAAAGTTGATGCGAAAACTTGGTTACTTTGACCGTTTCCACTTTGAGGATTTGCTCTTCAATTTCGATATGAGGTCAGCTTCGCTTGAGCTACTTGTTTTCTGGCTTTGAACTTGTGCCTGTCGCTTAGCGGACACTTGTTTTTCAATAAGCTTAGAGCCCTAAAAGAGGGAGCGTGTAGCCTGTATGCAAAGTAAAACTGGGATGAATACCTTGTAATTTTTAGAACTCTGATCGATCGCAAACGCGCTATCAGTGAATAGCGCTTTGAAACGTACGTCACATGCAACCGCTTCTGCTAAAACACTTTCTTTCTCTTCCTTTTGCTTCGCTGCTTTGTACAAGGCTCGATTTTCCTAAAAAAAAAAACATGTTAAAAATTAAAGTACTTCGTGTATTTAAGTGTACCTTTTGCTTAGCCCTAGCTTGCTCTTCCACAGCTTTTAGGGCATGTCGCTCTATTCCTTCCATTTCTTTTATTTTCTGCTTCCGCTCTGCCTTCTTCTGCTTCCGTCTTTCCAAATAAGCTTGGTAAGTGTTCTTCTGAAACATTTTTTTTTCTTTTTTGATAAGAGCTACAGACAAGTGTCGATAAACCCGATAAGTAAGAAAAAGAAAATAGAGATTTGGAACATAACAAAAGGAAGTAATACAAAGGTTGCAAGAAAACAAAAAGTGATATGCAACTCACTAATTGTGAGAATTATAAGTAATAAGAAGAATTAGGAGATAACTGGAAAAGTAACTGTTTATGTTGCCTAACCTGTTTTTTCTTAACCGTTACTTTTTTTGAATCCTCGTCTCCTTCATTCTGATAATCAGTTTTCACGATGGGCAATTTTTCGACAGGAACGTTTTCAACACTCTTTGCATCCTCATCATGCTCGTCAATTCCGTCATCTTCATCGCTTTCACCATTAACGCACTTGTCATCCCAATCAACCTTAAAGTCATCTAAATGCATATTCTCTAGTAGGAAAGGAGATGTTCGACGATATAAGATACCTGCAGACTATCTTCTACCTCCTTCTTGCCGAGAAGTGACAACAATGCCTGTCGGCTTTTCTCGTTCCCTTCATCATCTGAATCAGAATTGGCAATGAGATCAACTCCGGCCTCTTCGTCACTACTAAAAAAAGACAATCATTATTATTTCCCCTTTTCTGACACACCAACTTGAATGCCTCTTCGAATTTCCTCTGCCGCAGTTCTTCCGTCTCGTCCCAACCTATTCGGGCGCTTGTCTGAGCTACTGCAGATTTTAACTGAAGCACAATTTTAACATTATGGACAGACGTATGAGATGATTCTAAAAAATCAGGGTAATATGTTATTTTTTCATTTACTTCTATTCCGAATTTGCTCAACCTTTTAGAACATGTGAATTAGCGATTTACTCGGTATCCTCTCTTTGCAACCTGAAAAAAGCCGCTAACCCGTAATAGAAGGAGAAGTCGTACATGACAGCGGCAGATTAAAGGAGCTGTTGACCAACTGCCCACTGAGGGGATCCCAGCTTCTTCTCAGAAAACTGAAAGCCTTCGGTAAAACGCCTCAATACGCCGAACAGGGAACTTTGAGCTCATTTCGAAAACCAGTTCTGCTGAAAGGAAGAGAACACTGAGATTGGATTCATACCTCGAGCGACTGGACGCCAATACCAGTGGCTGAACCTTAGCGAAAATCAAAATTATGGGCCGACTTTTGGAAACAATGCAAGGAAGTAGTCGAGAAGACCCGAGATCTTCTCAATTATCGATTCTGCTACATTGTTAAACGGATGAGACAGGCACATCTCGACGGCAAAGAATGGCATTGATCACGAAGAGAATCTACGTCAACCTCTTTGCTAATACACCTGTTTCAGCTCCATTAACCTCACTGAAGAAGTACCACACGGTTACCTGTTAAAGTGGGCATTAAAACAGTCCATGAAGGCAGCTTGTAAGAAGTTGGCCAACAGCTCCGGGATCAGACCACACTACGGCCAACTTCCTTCTTCAAGCTGGAGCTCGCCTAACAAGATATTTGTGCAGTTAACGTGCCCTCGAAAGAAACCCCGATTAGACGAGGGGGCACAGTGCTCCCAAACAGTCCTCCTCCAAAGAAGAGCATAGTGAGGATCTTTGAAACTACGGTCCATTGTATTGCTGAGTGTGCTTCACAAGCTCTCCGCAAATATTTTACTCGCCTATCACGGACAATGGATGAAGCCCAAAGCAAACGTTCGCAAGGGATTTGGCCGTTGATCACATCCAGAAGTCCCACCTCCTCAATTCAACCTGTCTCTCACCTTTACCGCGAAACCTGGCCTGACACTCTGACTACCATTGAAAGATCTGAACATCTCATAAAGCGATGAAAAGACATCTTCTGACACTCGACCTTGTCGGCTTCCGCAGTTCGAATATGAGGTCATTTCCTGTTTCCGAACTACAAGGGAATATGTCTTTGAAGCAAAACATCGTTGAATTGGTCATATAATGAGGACAGACAGATGGATACCAAGAACCCTTGAATGGATCCCTCCCGAAGCAAAATGTTCTGGGAGGAGGGCACTTACTAGAGGGCCTGACGTGTTCGGCGCACATGAATGAACCTGATATCTCAGCTGGTAGCGAATAATGGGCTGGACCTCGCGAATTGCGTTAGTGGGAGACAATTAGAGTATGCGAATGTTGGGACCTGCACAACAAGTGCTTACAGGGCAAGTAAATATCCAAATTTATACATTACCTCTCATGAAAACACAATTTTAATCAACATCAGCGGCTAAAAAATAACTTACCATATGGATGAGCACAATTCCCAAGAAAAACAGTTAGCAAATTAAAATTTTTTGAGTATGTTGAAAAAACGGCGCTTTACCTTTTCTTTCGACTTATATTTTGCGACATTGAGATCGTCCTCACCTAGCGTCTCCTTTATCCGATCTTTCTTGAAAAAAAAA